ATATTCAGCTAATATTATACTCACTTGGGAAAAACTGAGAGCTTTTCCTCTTTGATCAGGAACAAAATGGGAATGTCCACTTTCACCATTGTTATTTAACATTAATACTGCAAGTCTTAGTCATAGCAGTCAGAAAATGAAAAGAAATAAAAGGCCTCCAAATCAGCAAGGAAGAACTCAAACTTGCAAAATTCACAGATGACATGATATTCAATGTAGAAAACCTGTAAAACCGCACTAAAATATTTTTCTACAACTGATACATGAATTCAGCAAAGTCATCATAAAGAAATCTGTGGCATTTTTATACAACAAAGCAGTAGAAAGAGAAATAAAGGAATCCATCCCATTTACAATTGCACCAAAAATCATAAGATACTTAGGAATAAACCTAACTGAAAAAGTAAAAGATCTGTATTCTGAAAACTACGGAACACGTAGGAAAGAAATTGAAGATGAGACAAAGAAACATCCATGTTTTTCTATGGATCGAAAGAACTCATATTGTTAAATGTTCATACTACCCAAAGAAATCTACATATTTAATGCAACCCCTATCAAAATACCAAGAGCATTTTTCACAGAGCTAGAACAAGTGAATCTAAAATTTATATAGAGCCATAAAAGACCCCAAATAGCCAAAGCAATCTTGAAAAAGCAAAATTGGAGGCATCAGAATTCCATACTTCAATCTATATTCCAAATGTGTAGTCATTAAGACTGTATCGTACTTGTCAAAAACAGACATATAGGTCAATAAAACAGAATATAGAACCCATAAATGGGCCCACAGATATAGGGTCAACTAATCTTCAACAAAGCAGGCAAGAATATTGAATGGAAAAAAGACAGTCTCTTCAATAAATGGTATTGGGAAAACTGGACAGCAGCATGCAGAAGAATGAAACTGAACACATTCTTACACCATGCACAAAAATATATTCAAAATGGATGAAACATATAAATGTGAGACAGGAAACCATCCACTTCCTAGAGGAGAACATAGGTAGCAACCTCTTTGACTTTGGCTGCAGCAATTTCTTACTAGACATGTTTCTGGAGCAAGAAAACAAAAGCAAAAATGAACTATTAGATCTTCATCAAATTAAAAGTTTCTGCACAGTGAAGGAAACATTCAACAAAACTAAAAGCAACCAACAGAATGGGAGAAGACATTAGCAAATGACCTATCTGATAAAGGTATACAAATCTATAAAGAACTTATCACACTCAACACTGAAAAAATAAATAATCCAATTAAGAAATGGTCAAAAAACATGAAAAGTGTCTACTTTTCCAAAGACATCCAGGAAAGCTAACAGACACATGAAAAGATGCTCAATATCACTCATCATCAGGGTAACACAAGTCAAAACCACAATGAGATCCCACTTCACACCTGTCTGAATGGCTAAAATTAATAACACAAGAGACAACAAGTGTTGGTGAGGATGCAAAGAAAGGGATACTGCTTCAAGTTGTTAGAGCACTGTATTTACCCTGGAGCCACAAGGATAGTTCAACCTCCCATTTGAGTATTTCTTGATTGTCAGAAAAATTAACACTTAATTGAAGATTTAACTAATTTAATTACTGTCCAGTCTGTATATTTTTCAAAGATTTGGGGGATAATACCAGTTAGGGATCATAAACTTGTTTTCCTTTAGGCAATAAATCTCATTGCAAGAAGCAAAATATTTTAAAAAGTATTATGAAGTCTTGCTAATCAGCATCACCATTACCTATATAAGTCAATTTTGTGTAAAATACATGCTTTGAAAAAAATAATTTAGATGTTAAGTTTTACATAAAACAGATCTCTGGGTTAAAATGGGAGTTCAGGTTTCTTTAATACAGTACTGCTCAGACCTCTTAATGTGTATTGTTAATCTGATGCACAGGGTATATCTTGTGTTATTTCCTGGAATTACGTGATCTCATTACATCTTTTGGTTTTTGTTTCCCATGGACATTTCATTATGTCTTTTGGTTTTTGTTTCCCATGGACATTTTTCAGAATCAGTGTCCAGAGAAATGTCTTTGGCATTGGAAATTTCTTATCGAATATTCTCTAATGATATGCAGCTGAGAGTAAAGAAAATAGGACAAAAATCCTATTACATTTATCATAAATATAAAGGCAAATAGCTCTTGTGTATCGAATTGATACTAAATATCTGCCGAATTAAAGAAGTCATCTGTATACCTTCTGAAAGAGTCTAAATAACCAACATGTTTAGCTCACCTAATTGTTTTTCATTATAGAATGAAAATAGGGGAAGCAGATTACATTGGTTTGACAAAGCCAAATCATGCATATAGTCTGTGCATTATTATATATAACAGGAAATCTGGACACTTAGACAGACAACCTCTATATGCCTGGAAAAATAACTTGGATATTTTCATATATTTGACTCCTTGAACAAATCTGCCAAAAGTTTTCTGTTGGAAATGTGGTATTTTTCTATAAACTGGATCCTTGCCCTAAGATGCAAGTGGATATTGGTTAAAACAGAAAACTGACAAAACAGGATTTATGTCACTGCTCCTTTCTGAGTCAGGTCACCAAAAATAAAGACTTGATATACCGCATAACTGCTAAGACTTGATCATATCTACTTTTCTCATCTGTCAGAAAGTCAACCTGAGGAATGAAGAAAAATTTATAAATTAAACAAAATCTCTAAAACAGTCATAGAGGCCAGCCACAGAAAAATAGCCCTATTGGACACTTGTTTTAATATTTTTCTAGGTTGCACAAGGTCCAAATAGGAAATGGATGGGACACTCAAATTAAGATGATTTAAGAAATGTTTAATAAAGGGACTATTCACAAAGTGAAGGTGTGTGTAGGAGACCCTCAAGGAATAACACAGTCACTCAGGCTACTAAATTGAAAGGCATTTTCTCCCTAGAGTCAGAGTGACAGGGACAGTATGATTATTGAAATAAAGAAAGAAGTAAGGCTACTTTGAAAGACATGTATGATCAGAGGATGAAGCACAAGGTGATACCACATGGATGTGACTAGAAGAATAAAGAACCAATCTTTTTCATTCCTTCTTCTTATTTCATGTAGAAGCATCTCTTGGAAGACCCAATGGGAACTGGGAGACAAAGGAGACTGCTGATATTGCCCATTCACCGAGAGTCAAGAGTCAGTTGGGAAAGGGGTAAAACTAAAGGGACCGATAAAAAATAACTTGAAATGATGGATCAATCTTCAAGAATTCATCATATGTTCAATTACATGAACCAAGAAAAATTTGAATTCCATCATTCTGTAAGCACCTTAGTTTTAGGGATGTTATTTTCTTTTTTCCATTTTTACTTGATTTTTCTTTTATATTTCCCCCCAATTTCCTCACAGTTTCTTGTGCTGTGTTGTGACTTCATATGCTTGAATGACTAATTACCTGTCCTCTGATTTTTGTTTCTCTATTATCTGGCTTGGGATGAAATAATCAGCTGTGAAGTTAGAAAAGTAGTTTTCTGACTGTCTTAATGTAAGCCTCATCACCATATTTAACTGGGTTAAATTAAATTAGGACTATGAGTTAATGAAGATACCATAATTGGAAAAACCTCTGACTTCTAATAGCTTTCATATTCCTTTAATTTCAAATCCATTCCTGCATCAGACTCTTGGTTTCAGCTCAGGCCATGATCTCACAGTTTATGAGATCAAGCCTCATGTCAGGCTCTGTGCTCACAGTGCAGAGCCTCCTTGGGATTCTTTCTCTCCTCTCTCCTTCTGTCTCTGCCCCCCTCTATCTCTCTCACTCTCAAAATGAATGAATTAATTAAAAAAAACCCAAAAGCTCTGTACAGGTTTCTCAGGTAAAAGTTATTTTTAATCCAAGGGTGATTAATATTCCAAGAAGTAAACAAAAAAATCAATGTCATAGATAAAAATGTATCTTTACTTAAATATATGTTTCTATTTTGTGGACATCACCACCAACATTTATTCACAAATCTAAAATGAAATAAATGTTTTAGGCATTTTCAGAGTTCATTATAAAAACTCATCCTATCCTAAACTATCACAGTGGATTAAATAAGGAGACTTAAAATTTAGGAGAATGAAAAGTTATATTCACCTTAATACCAAAAGGCTGGCCAAAATTAATAGCAATACATTATATCATGGGAATGATGTTTACTTAACAAATTATCTTTAGGAATATTCTAGCCTGAAAAACTGGTCTATTTCTTAGGAATTTATATTACTTAACCTTCTTAAAAATTATTTTTAATGTATTTAAATAGAACGGTAAACAATATAAAATAAGTGTATATATTAACTTCCATGTGTTAACTCTCCAATTTTTAAAACTTTGCTCCGAGTTCTTGAACAGAGTTCTACCTATTTGGCCACTCATGGGAAATCTCTTATCATTGTGAAATAGAGGTTTAATTCCAAGTTCATTGGTTAAGAATAAAAAATAATATGATCATAAGATGAATGTGGCTGACACGTGAAAAAAATAAGTCAAAGAATGCGCAAATGGAATATGGAGAAACTCTGAAATACTCCAGGTGCACTAACCTCTTTAAAGTTTATTAAAGTTGAAAATAGATGGCTTTTGAATGGTGTGACTATTTCCTTAACAAGTCCCCACTGACTAAAACACAATTAACAGTGAATCAAACTTTTAGGACTTTAAGTCAAACTGTCAATCTGTTCAAATGCTACTGAAGCAATACCAAATCTGTTGCTGCACTAACTACTGCTTTATTGAATGTCAACTTGAGAGTACTGGCAGTCTATAGGAAAGGACTACTAAGCCGGGCCCATGATAGATTAACTGCACATTCATTTCTAAGAATAGAGTTTAATACCTTTAAAAATAAAAATATGTAACTCACTAGCATATAATTTTACAACCCTTAATACAGTTAAATATGTTATAATTTTCTTCCATTTTAATTGCTAAGGAACAATTCTTTAAACATATATTCTTTTATAATACTGTGGCAATACTTATTTGCAGCTAGAGCTATGGAAGCAAATTCCAGGTTATAGGCATGGACCAAGAAAACAATATAAAGCTACAATACATGGGTAAGTATCTTAAGTAAGAGATTTAAATTAAAAACATATACATATATGTGATATTAGATTTATATTTCATATACAAATGTCTATCTACATTAGGACATAAATGAATGATTTCACAAATACTAATTCTATTGGGAAGAGAAAGAGAGAGAGGGAGAGGGGACCTATAAGAGCTTAATTTGTTTTCTTGATGCTAACACTCATAATTGTGAATCTACATCTTCTTACATGCATTGCTTCCAAGACAGATTTTGAGTCTGCAAAACTAGCATCCTTCACCTCCTATATAATTTAAATGATAGGACCATGTTTGTATTGGCTTGACCGTATTGATTTTATCCTTCTTCCTAGCTGGCAAATAAAAAATAATTGTCTTCCGTCTCTTCACACATGGTTAACAATGTTACCTACCAGAAAGAATGTTGCCAACCATAATTTTGAAAATAGAATGATTTTAAAGAATGTAATGATTAAGTAAGCTAATGACTCTTTTATTCTTTAATATTTAGATGGCATGTTTGCTGGGTTATATGGATGGGTGGAGAGCTGCTCTGGATGTTTCTTACCAGTGCTTTGCAATATAGCAAATGGAATGCTTCAATTTGACAAGTTTAAGAAAAGAAACCTTTTGATGTACATGAGACTTTGAAAACTACAAAATGAGAAAAGAGCTAACACTGAAAGACTTTGGAAAGGTCTCTGAAATATTTGCTTGGTTAAGCACAAAACATAAAGACTTGTAGAGGGAAAAAAGGCGAGAAAAATTCACAACAGTGAAATGTATTCTTTTGAAGATAAATATTTTCTATATAACAATTGCCTATTGATGAAAATTTGAAAATTATTTGAATTTACTAACAACCAAATAATATCTCTATCAAGTTTTCACCCATAGAAATTAGCCACTAGCTATTTTGAGTGTTGATCAATTTACCACTTGTTTCTATGATGAAATATTACTGCTTACTATCCCATCCAAATAATATATAATCACCCTACTTAGCCTGTAACCTATTATGACACAATTTATGTTAATTTTAGGTTAAAGAAATTATGTTTCATTTAAAAATATTTATACATGTTTCCTGAAAATGTATTTTTACTCATGATCAAACGTTGATCACATTTTAAGAGTTTTAACACAGGGCATCTGGGTGGCTCAGTTGGTTTAAAGTCCAACTCTTGATTTTGGCTCAGGTCATGACCTCACGGGTCATGTTGGGCTCTGCGCTGACAGTGTGGAGGCAGCTTGGGATTCTCTCCTCTCTCTCTCTCTCTCTCTCTCTCTCTCTCTGCCTCACTTGCACTCTTTCTAAATAAATAAATAAACATTAAAAATATCTAAAGATTTTTAACACATATTGCTATATTGGCCTTTAAAAAGATCATGCCAATTTACACTGATAGTGTAAATATTAGAGTGCTCACATTTTATATCCTTATAAATTTCAGGTACTTATTTAATATGAAATTTCTCATTAGATAGGCAAAAATAGAACCCTATCTAAATCTACACCACTGAGTTTTTATAACGAATATTTTATCTTATTCAATTACAATTCTCCTTTTGAAATGATCTTCCTATATCCTGTTACACTATTTTATTTAGATTTCTTCTTACATAAGATTTTTCATGCAGTAATATAAGTAATAACTCTTTTTCATGTATATTGAAATTATCTGTTCCCAATTTATCTTTTATATCTTTCCTTGCATTTCATTATTTCTGTAACTATATTATTTATGTTTATAGTTTTTAGCTCTTAGTTTTTTTGTGAAATGCATCATGTACATATATACATATGTCACATTTTATAATACCAAAAACTAAATATTTGCACTCAGCTAGAGAAATAGAATATTATTGATAGTTTTGAAACTCTGTATACCCTGCCCATTTATACCCTTGTCCAACCCTCACAGGTATAAACACTATCCTTAATCACTGACAATCATAAGGCAATTATAAAGTTGTACATGAATCATATAACAATCATGCCTGTACAGATTATCTACATATGAATATGTTCCTAAATAATACAATGCTTATCTTTAAAATATACCCTAAGAGGAACTAGGACAGACTACATAATTTGTAGGGCCCAGTGAAAATGAAAATGGTGGGTTCTTATTCAAAAATTTTCTAAGAATTCTAAGATGATAGCAGCAGAGCTATCAAGAGTGGGGCCTTCATTTGTAGCAATATGGATGGAACTTGAGGGTGTTATGCTGAGCGAAATAAGTCAGGCAGAAAAGGACAGATACCATATGTTTACATGTATCGGTGGACAAGGAAGAACTTAATGGAGGACCACAGGAGAGGAGAAGGGGAAAAAGTAGTTGGGGAGAGGAAGGAAGGCAAACCATGAGAGACTCTTGAATGCTGAGAACAAACTGAGGACTGATGGGGGTGGCGGAGAGGGGAAGGGGGGTGATGGGCATGGAAGAGGGCACTTGTTGGGATGAGCACTGGGTATTATATGGAAACAAACTTGACAATAAATTATTTAAAAAAAAAAAGAGTGGGGCCTTGTGTATCAGCACAGGTCACACACTTATGCAGATGTCGCTGTGTGAAGGCATTCTATACCTTTCCTACTTGAAACTTGATATTTTTATCTTTTTTGTAATTTTTTTTACACTTATTTATTTTTGAGAGAGACAGAGGACAAGTGGGGAAGGGGCAGAGGGAGAATGAGATACGGAATCTGAAACAGGCTCTAGGCTCCAAGCTGTCAGCACAGAGCCCACCGTGGGGCTCAAACTCACAAACTGATATTATAACCTGAGCTGAATTTGGACACTTAACTACTGAGCCATCCAGGTGCCCTGATATTTTTCTTCTTTATGTTTTATAGCTCAACTAGTGAAACTTTGAGAAACTCATCGATGACTTCAAGCAGTCATTTTCACTAATACATAAGATTTTAAGAGAACACCAAAGAATTTTAAACCATTAAAATCTTAATGGAAAGGTAGATTATTTCTTCAGTTTTGGGCTTGCCTCTACAGTTTTTCATTTACATGTGCATAGGTTTCTCCAGTGTACATAATTAGGAACAGTCCAATCCCTAAAATTTGAAGAGCCTGGAGCAAGAGTAAAAATAGAAGAGTAAAAGTAGAAGCCAGATGATCATATGTCTTAAATATTTCCAAGTTACAAAAAAGCTAATACACTGTTAAATAAAATGCTTTCAGTTCTTCTACCTTGAAAATAGTTGTTTAATATCACAGGATGATTCTTTGTTGCCATACATAACTCTTTCAAATGCCACACTACCTCTTAAGGACTTCTAGAACCATACGTTGTAACAGGATGAGAATAGAATGGTTGCCCAAAAGTACTGGGTATGTGCTATATTACTGTCATCTGCCAAGTTAGTTGTCTTTTCTTTAACATAGTCACATCTGCTGGTCAAATCCTCCCTGTCCTCAGAAGCAATGTCTGAATCTCATGGCAGCTAGCAACATAGGCCCTAAACCATGCAGCTAGCTTTTATTTTGAAGCATAGGACAAGAGATGAGGAGACAACTTTATCTTAAAGCTTCAAAGTGATGGTCATGATCTCATGTTTGCCTGGGTGTCTGGCTACTGAACAGTCTAACAGTGTGATTTATGATGATGGTTTCGACCATATGTTACTATTTCTGATCTCTGGAGAAACTGGAGACTAAAGATGTCATCTGAATATCTGAATTCCTGAAGGGGCTAAGACTAAAGGTCAGCCACAAGGGAAATGTGATTGAGGCCCAATAACCTGTGGATACCAAATGCTCAGGTGAGCTTCCCTGACTGGCAACACTGTATGTTTGTCACACATTGTAGCCAAGAGGAGTTAACACTGTCCATGACCAACGGGGAGTAGACAACTGGAAATGCCAGTATTTAGACCCATCCTGAAATCTGCCTTTTGTGTCTCTTCATTTGGTTGATATTATATGTATCTTCTTCCTATAAAAAACTGCAACTATGAGTGTAACTGAGTACTACTAATCTTTCCTCCCCATTGCATATGATCTTTGGATGGGATTATTACAAATATGACCTGCATTGTAGTCCTTAGTGGTCTTGAGATGAGCATCTCTGTCCTGAAAAGTCTTAGAATAGAGAGCAGGAAGGGGTCCTTAGCACTTCTTTGCTCTGGACGCATTATCCTCAGCCCACTTGTGCAGAAACTGAAGAAGATGAATCAAACTCAAAACTATAATAAGAAGTAAATAATTAAAAAATTAAGAACAAAATAATGAAAATAAGCATTATCCTTCCATTACCAGTGCCCTCTTGAAAGAACTTATACAACATAAGAAGAAAAATGTACAGTAACTAAAAACTCTTATACTCACTCAAAATATCAATCATTTGTCAGGGTTAAAAAAAGGAAAGACAATATTTGAGAAATCAGAAATGCTAAAAGTTATGTCTATTAAAAACCAAATACAATTAGAATAATATAAGAACCATAGATGATTCTGGTGTCAACTGTGTGATAAGCATATACATTTTTCCCCCTTAATTTATTTAATTCCAATAATACTGTCAATTACATACTAAATATACCCTTATTTTTTTAAATGAATAAAATTTCTGGCAGGGTTACCTAAAAAATAAAATGCTTGCAGTGCCTCAGTCTGTGAGGCATCCAAATTTGGCTCACATCATGATCTCACGGTTTTAATGGGTTCGAGCCCCACATCAGGCTCTGCATTAATGGTGCACTCTTCTTGGGATTCTCTCTCTCCCTGTCTCACGCTCTCTCTCTTTGCCCCTTGGTGTGTACACTCTCTCAAAATAAAGAAATAAACTTTGATGTATTTTCTTAAAAAATGCTCATGTATTGGAAGACTTGATATTGTTAATATGTCCATACCACCTAAAGCAGTGTATAGATTTAACGCAATCCCTATTAAAATATCAATATTATTTTTACAGAACTAAAAGCAAATAATTTTAAAATTAATATGGAATCACTAAAAACCCTGAATAGCCAATGCAATCTTGAGTAACAAAAACAAAGCTGGAGGTGTCACAACCCCAGAATTCAAGATGTACTACACACTATAGTAATCAAAACATCATGGTACTTGCACAAAACAGATACATAGATCAGTGGAAAGGGATAGCAAGCCCAGAATAAATCTACATTTATATGGTCAGTTCTTCTATGACAAAGGAGGAAATAATATACAATGGGGAGTATTCATTGGAAAATATATAATGAAGAATATTCAGTAAATGGTACTATGAAACTGACAGCTACATGCAATGTAAATAAACTAGATCACTTTCTTACACCATACACAAAAATAAGCACAAAACAGATTAGAGATCTAAATGTGAGACCTAAAACCATAAAACTACTAGAAGAAAATATAGGGAGTAATCTCTTAACCAACAGTCATAGCAACATTTTTCTAGATAGGTCTCCTAAGGCAAAGGAAACAAAAGCATAAACTACTGGGATTATGCCAAAATAAAAAGATTTTGCACAGTAAAGGAAACCATCGACAAAATGAAAAGACCACCTACTGAATGGGAGAAGATATTTGTAAATTAATATGTATCTGGTGGGGGTTAATAGCCCAAATACATACAAACTTACACAACTTAACAT